GAGGTCCCTTAGTAGTTCTCTACAAGTGCCCGGAGTGCCTCTATCCGCTGTGACTGGTTTTTGCTCATCTGCAAAAGTCTTAAGGAGGGGGCTTACTCCATCAGCTAGCTGATGGGGTCACTGTGAGAGGAAGCGAAAGAGGTGACTGCAGGCAAAATCAGTATTTCCTTCCAAACGGAGGGCCGAATCACAGGACTCATGGAGATCCTGTGATTCAGTATTATTTCCTGGAAGAAAATTAAATTCATTTGCCGAATGATAAAGGCAGGGAGACGGTCATCTCGTTCCCAGGACCCCGGAAGATTCTCAGTGGAACTGCTAAGCTAACATTTACTGAGCACTTACTATGTACCAGGCACTGTGCTAAGCACTTTATATGCTACTTCGTAACGCCTATGACGTCGTCCTGTTGTTATTCTTATTTTCTGCAGGACTAAAATGAGCTTCCTAAGAAATACAGCTGCCCAGGCCTCCCAAGCAGACAATGGAAGAGCAGGGAGTCAAACCCAGGTTACGTCTAACTCTGGGGTCTGAGCAGTGAACACTGCGCTAAGCTGAAGTCAGCCTGCGTCAGGTGGGCTGACCTGTTGGGAGGAGCAGCCGAGCACACGCCTGCAGGCTGAAGGATGGCGACCGACCATGGCATCCTCCCAGTGTGAGCTAGGGGCAGGGATGTCCAAGGGCACTTCTTACGAGATAATAAAATCATGTCACTGTAAGTGGGGGTTACTTGCCCATTTGTTTCCACAGCTGGGCAATGAGCATTCAATTAAATCAATTACAAGGGCTTGGCCGGTTATTACTAATCTGTCAAAATGCCAGGACATAAATGCGTGTGGCGAGCACATGAATTCCAGTGGTGCTAATTCAGGTCTGTATCTGGGCTGTGTCCCAGGGACACTTTTACCTCCGATGAGTTTTCACAAATACTGGTAGAAGAAAGAACTCAATAAAACCTTACGGTAAATGACCTAAATTAAAAACAAAACAAACAAAACCAAAAACCTTTCCTGCATCTTACCCCCTTGGAAAGCAGCTCCTAGAATACTGCTGGATCAAAATGGACCTCGACAGTCAGCTAGCCCAGTTTCGCCTCAAAACCTCTGACCTCCAGCAGCCCTGACAGATGACACGCCTCGTCCTGAGCACTCCCCATGGCAAACTGTCTCCCTGGTGCGGGGGCCTGGCTGACAGGTGGGTCTTCCTTTCCCTGAGATGAAATCCGCCTTCCTGTCCCCTGCCCTCTGGTCCTCATTTTGCCCCACCGAAATATAGTTGACACTTATTTTGTTCTCCCCCTGACAGTCTTCCCAATATTTGGAAACAGCGGGTCTTGCTGATTGCTTCTTTCTTGCAGGCTACACATCCACGTCACTGTCCCTCGACCCCAGGTTAGGGTGCCAGTGTTCCGTCAAAAGCTACGTATGTAAGAATCCGGGTAAAGTCTGCTGGGCCTATTCCTGCCAATGATCAGGACATGGACCTTCTTGACATCCCGTGACTGTACGGGCGCCCTTGGTCGTCTGCATCACACAGCTGCTGTCCTCTATGCTGTGGCTAGCGAAAGCCCCTAGATCTTTCCTCCCGGGAGCTCTTGTTGCTGAGCAAGGTGACCTCCCGATCCGCATCCTGACTACAAGTACATAGTCACGAAATACCTTACTCTGCTAGGTATGATATCAGGATCACTACGCAACTGGTGGAAGCCAATTTTCACCAGCTTTATGAAAATTACAAGTTTTCTTGGGGTCATCTGGCACATGCAATCCAAAAAATAATTTGTTACTTACTCATTAGCATTCAAGCTAGCTGTGGCTCTGATGATCATGTAGCAGAGTGTGAGAGCACTGAGGAGGCCAAAACTGGCAATAATAAACCATTCTTCTGTTGACAAAGGAAAGGGAGGAAATCACTCTGGGGAGAAGGCTTAAGTCAAATCGATGTCAACATTTCCCTCAAATGCAACGAAGCAGACGTCAACGGAGGTGTAAGCCAAGACTGGCCCAAGGAAGTGAAGCAGGAGGAGGTTTGCCAGAGAGCTACTAACTGGAGAAGGTTAGTGGAGGTAGTGGTGAGAGCTGCAAGGGAGAAAGGAAAGCATGGCCCGGACAGTTCTTCCAGTTAAGGTCCTGACGTCTGTGAGGAGTGTGGCCACCGAAAAGCGTGCAGGAGAAACAGGTCTATCAGATCGCACGTGGACAGAGGTTTTTAAATTGCTGCTTTACATGACAGCACGGTAGACTTAGCCACACTTCTATAACCTTTCCTTCTTCGTTCTGTCACTTCTGTGTGGTTGTGTCACTCATTCTTAGCGGAAGGCTTATAAATACGGAGTAGGGGTCCCGGAAGTCTTGGGGGCACTCCACGCAGTCCGCAGGCTGGTCTTCTGGTCTTTCTTTTCTCCTGGGCTTGGGCTTACTTACAGCCTTTATGTAAAAAGGACACCTTACTGGTGTCTCCTGGAAAGGACTGCCTTTCCCACCCCCACCGGCGGGAAGCGGCTCTGGCTGTGTCAAGCAGGTGACTCACCAGAAAGCTGGCCCATCAGAGGGTTGAAAATCTCTGGTACACAGAACTCTAGAGTTTTCAGCTAACCTCCTTCTACATCCAGGAAGTCGGTTAATGTTTTCCCTTCTCTTGAAAGCCCATGCTATCAAGATAATGTTCCACAAACATTCTTTAACTGAAAACCTCCAAAATAACTTGTGAACCAATCCTGACTTCCTAGTAAGTGTTAACTACAAAACATTTCCTACAGTCTATGCTACCCGGGGCCGGTTTAACAAAGTGGCTCACAGCGAAGCCCCTCTGTATCGGCAGTGGGGCAGCTGGAAGACACTCGGCCTTGGAATGTCCAAAGTTTACACGCGGAAGTGGAGAGTGTAACACGCATGTTCTCAATCTGGTGTCCACCAGTCCCACAGATATGCAAAGCTATGAGTTCCTAGGAATTTTTCTAGAAAAAGGTTCTTATATTTTCATTGGATTTTAAAGGTGGTGATCTTCAAAAGGTTAAGAATTGCCCTTCAGGGCTCCAGGACGATGAGTTTGTTCTATGAGCATCAGCCATCTTGTTTTATACTATTAAAATGCTTAGCAAACTGTTTCTTTTTTGGTAGTAGTGCTGCCACTGCTTCCTGGATTATAAATTCCTCATGAGTACAGTGAATTTATAAGGTTTTAAGTAAAAAATGAACATTTAAGAACCGATACCAAATTGGCCATCTTTACCTGCGTGGATTTTAAGTTAGGAAAAATGGACACTGGCATTTGAAAAAAATTAAGAGATGACTGGTCAGCAGGATCAAGACGCTTCACTCAGTGTTCTTTATTTGTTTATTTTTTTCTTCTCAGAGACCTTTATACGTGATAAGTAGACTGCGTTTTAGAGCTGCAAGTTCCACGTTTCTGCATTCTGAACAGACCATCCACAGACCCATGGCATTTAGGTTATAAAAACTAGTAACCAAAAAGAAGCAGGTGCAACCACAATGATCCCCTGTGGGCCCAGGGACATTCTGGCAGCAGCCGGGCCCCTGGTCAGCCCTGCCCACCCCACTGGGTACTTAGCACAGTGCCTTGCACAGTGGATGCTGGGACACTACAGAACTTTGAGGGAAAGGTGAGGTTGCTTTGGGTTAATTTAACCACATGAATTGATTAACATCTGTCAATTCCACTAAAGGTGATTCATTTGATACACGAAGTAACATTTTTTTAATCATCAAAATGTAAGATTTTGAAAGGGCATTTCGGCATAAAATATAATGGGATCAGAACTTAATGTAGTAGTAGGTGCTCAATAAATGTCGATCAATGAGGAGTCTACAAAAACTCATTGATAAACAACCTGTTTCCTTTATTGCTATTGGATCAGTTTTTAAAAATCTACCCCCTAAAACCTGAAAACATGAAAAGCTGTTAAAACAAATCGCTGGGACGTGGTAGGAAATGAGTCAAACTGCATCCAAGAATACTTTTCCTTGTTTTATAACTGAATGAAGTCTCCTTGAGTTTAGACAAATGATAGCACAAAAGCTGGGACACTGTTCATGACTACTAATCTCTGGTCGGTGGGAAACATGTGCACTGCAATTGAGCAGCCTACACATGCCTTACTACGTGGAGGAAAAATCCTTTGTGACGGCTTTCTCCGCGCCGCGGCCTCGCGGGGCTTAGGGCTGGAAGCGACAGCAAGCGACAGCACGCACTGGGAAGGCAGCACCACAGTGGTGACAAGGAGCGCGGAGAGAGGCGGTTAGATGGAGAGACCACATAGAGGATGGAACTGAAGGGGAAGTTGGCTTGTTACAGGATGAACGCCCACAGGGCCCACACACACACATGCCGGCCGGCCCACGCACACTGTCCTTCAGCCTTGGCCATCAACACACTCGGAGCGCCACGTCTCTCCTCGGCAACACTTCACCCCGCAAGACGTTCCAGCCTAGTGAGAGCGTTTTTAAAAGCACATCCCCGTTTGGCTTTTTCCCGCCCCAGATACAGTGACCCCAAAAAGGGAAGTGCCAAGACACCAGACTTCATAAAGTGAAGTGAGCAGCAACAGGATGTCTCAACTTCCCCGGAGCTGCTCACCTCTGTGTTCAGATTCTGCCCTGGGTTTACAGAAAGCCACCTGCAGCCTGGTGCTTGAGGCTGGTGACACCACACGTGACACCCCGCGTCGCATCCCAGTGTGACCGCTTCCAACACCCGTGGGCAAGGCAGTCATCAAAGCAGGTGTCTGTACAGCTACCGAGACAACTTGTCAGACGGCAGCTGTTCTGACTTAGTACACACAAATCCACAAGCTTCTTATTACAAGGAAAGGTCTGTCTTCCCAAATACCCGTTTCAACAGCAGTATCTGTCACTTCCTCCGTTACAGATTAACTCCCTGGCCTGGGTGACTGCCTCCTTCCTCTGCCGTCTGGAGCAGTCAACACACACCAAGCCGCAGCAGCAAACCTGCCCTGCGCCTGGGTACAGGACCCCACTTACTTGTTACTGCAATGTTGATCTCTCCCGTTCTGGGAGTGAGCTCCCCGTCCTGAGGAAGAGGCGAGATCCCCGAAGTTCGAAGTGGCTCGAGGCCTAGGGAGTTGTCGCTGGCGAGGTCGCCTAGGGCTGATCTTCGGTTAACGGCCTGGGTTCTGGTGAGCCTTTCCATGTCAAACGCTACGTTATCAGTACATGGCAAATTTGGCTGCAAAACATTCCCAGATTAAGAGTACTTAGAAGCATAGCAAATCTCTGACAAAATTCTAAATGTCTGACACCCTGCTGAAAGACTTAAAGATTTTTTTTCCATGTGACTTCCTCTCATTTCTTTCCCCATTTTCCCTTTCTCACCCAAGAGTTTTCCTTTAAAAGAAACAGATGATTTCCCCCCAAACATGATACAAAGGAAACCAAAATCTACTGCAGAGCTGAGAAAACTGGACACTTGAGCCTCACAAAGAGATGACAAGCTCTGGGGGACACAGCTAAATGACAAACAGGAAAACGCCTCACTCTGGGTCTTCCAGTAATGCTGAGGGAGGGCAGAGAAAATCAAATACTGCTTTCCTCCTACTAACTTCTCTGAAATGCCCTGCTCTGAAAAAGTTTTAAAAGATCTTCTACCTTTAGACACAAGGAAAGCATACGACCAAGAGCAGATCAACAGTGAAAAGACCTTTGAGTTGTGGGTAAATCATTGGTTTCAAAACTGAAGCATCTGGCCCTGAAGGAGAGGTAGAGAGCTGCCCTGAGCCAAAGCCTACCCACTAAAAAATGGGTGCGGAAGTCTCCTGAGATAGCAAGATGGCTATCTGATTTCCCCAGCAGCCTTCAGTTCTGGCAGACGGCACTGGAAGCAGAGTGGGGAAGGATGGCGGAGAGGAGCTCAAGAATGGAGAAGTGACAGCCAACGAGACCCACAGCAACGGCTTCCTGGGTAGAAAAACTGCTCTAGATTGTCCCACAGCCAGAGGAAAATGCTTACAATGATACCCAGTCAGAAGAGGTTTATTATGGCTTTTAGATTTACAATTATGATAGCTTGTAATAGACTCCAGAAGGAGGTTCTTTAAAAACACAAGGGAGATGTGTCTGTACTTCAAAGAACAGGACTGAAGGCAAACCAATCACACCAACCAAAAGAGGCGAAGTTAATACTTCTGGAAACATCTGCCACACATCAGATATCAGGGCGGATGCTCTATGCTAAACACTTCCCACGGCGGGTGACTGTTCCCCATGTCTGGAGACATTCAGACTGTGTGACTGGTGAGTGACTGTGACTACTAGCCTTTGGGAGCCGCCAAGGATGCGGGGGACACTCTACGGGGCACAGGATGCCCCCCACCCTGATGGAATTATCTGGTCCAGTGTCAGCAGTTCCGAGGAAGAGTAACCCTATGTTCAACTATGTCAGTGACGTGGTCTCTGGAGCTGGGAGGAGCCACACTGCCCACCTGGACCACTCAGGTGTTGACCAATGGCATATTTCACGTGGGACTTCTCAGAGTTTTGGGTTGCAAAGCTAAAATGAGCAACTCATCTGCTGGACACACTAAACTTCTGGTTCCACAAGGAAATCATTCATCCACTCTTTCTTGAGACCGGCAAGTATTTTATTTTCCGCTAAGGGGCATTAATTTTGGACAGATATGTCCTCCAGGGTGACCTGGAGGAAGTCTCCTGGTCCTCCCTGGTCCCCCCCAGGTCCTCCCAAGGTCCTTGGTGAGTCAGTGCTGACCTGCCTGGCCAGAGCTGAATGAAGTACTGTGTGGCCTTGGACCAAAGGCCTTGCCAGGCACTCACCGCCCACCTTCACAGCCTATAGCTGACCAACGCCCCAGGGATCGAAGTCAGATTCAAGAGAACGAAACTTAAGTGATGACATAGCTTTATAAGATGCTGAATGAGGAAAAAATTTACTACAGAACCAAAGTCAAAAGTCTCTATATCTAGCCCTTAATAACAAAACAGAACAAACAAAAAACCCCCCAAAAAAACCCTGTGATGAAAGCAAACCCCACCCCTCTCTCTGTTGCCATTCTTCCCTGCATTTCTACCACCCAATGGCTTCCGAGTGGACTAGTTCAGGTCTTTATCTTCTCTTCTGGGAGTTCCCCAAGACGGGTTGGACTCTAAGAATGTGGAAGAACGGCCGTGTGGCAGAGAAAGCCTGTGCTCTCTCGCGAGACTTAACCGCCCACCTGTCCCACGCTGGCTCATGTGCAGACACCACCACACAAAAGGAGTGACAAAACAGGAAACATACCACAATTCCCAGGGCCTTCAAAATATTAAGTTTGCACATTGGACAGGTACAATGTTCACTAAGCCAGGGATCCACGCAGGACTTGTGGAAAACATGCCTATAAAAACAAAACACAAAAAATGGAGAGTTGTATCATGGATTATATACTGAACAACTATTAGACCCAGAAACGGAATTTTTAGTTAGTCTGTTTCTCCCTCCTTTTGGAAATATTGGCAAGTCCTAAGAGAAAAATATTGGGGATGTATTAAAATACAGCTGGCAGAAAACCTCCTGACCCCAGTCTGCATGCTGAAAACTGGCAAGTGGTATTTGGCAGTTCAGTTTTTTTATTCTAGCATTTGAAGAAGCAGGATTTTCTTAAGAATGGAACAAACTATACCTTATCAATCAGTTATGCTTTATACAACAGCCAGAGTAGAAGGGAAACTGAAGAAGGTACGAACTAAGGGTTGAATGAAAAGTTTTCTGCACAACCATGAATTATTCACGGAACTTGGTTTCCATGTCATTTATAACATTATTTAAGAAGACTTCTAGGCAATGTTTTAAATGTGAAAGTTATGAGGTGGTTAGGAGTGTTTTAGAGATGAAGGGTGCCTAGGAATACGGTGACACTGAGCCAACAGTTTTCAGTGGAAATGTGAAGGGGAGAGAGAGAGGATGGGTGATTTTTTTTTTTTTTTTTCACTCAGGAGAGTGGAAAGTCACTTCCTTGTGATGGAAAAGCAGTCACAGAGTCTTGCATTCTTAGAAAAGGGACCTGTGCCTTGTGGAAGGGAAAGACTTTGAGGGAGCTGTGGCAATCACTTCTCAAGTTCAAGGACTCCCCATGGCAGCTGGTAAAAGCTAAAATGAGGCCCCAGAGTCCTGGCCAGAGAGGGAGAGAGGCAGGTGCCAGGACACATAGCCTGGGCACCTCAGAGGAACTGTATTTGGAGTCTCAAGATAAAAGAAATTTCAAGAAAGATATCAGATGGAAACATGGTACGCCTTGACAACTTTGTGAATCTGTAATTTATATGTGGCTTATAATTATATGCAGCTGCTTAAAAATGCAGTTTTCATCAAATAAAGGAAGGGGTCTAAACATCTTGCTGCTTTACTTGGGATTTGGAAGAAACATGCATGCTTACAGCTTCAACCTCAACACTGGATCCGCACCACCTACTGATACTTGGTAACTTTGCCCTCACTTCTTCCGGTAAGAATAAAGATCTTGAAGACTGAATTTATCAGTGCAGTGAACCAGAACTTCCTTGTCCCGGTAGGCTTTTATTTAAACCTGCAGGTTTTTACTCAAGGGGCAAAAGTCATCAAACCATAGGTGAGCCCGAAATTCATTTAGTACACACAAAGCACATCCACTTCTTGTTCCGGTATCCTCGTAGAAGAGTGCTCGGGGTTGTGGGGGGGAGGGGTTGAGGGAGTTGGGGGAAGGGCTCCTGCCTGCAGGGCCCCATACCCCAGCAGCTGTCAACTGTGCCAGAGTTCACTGTAGTCTGGTAAAGACTAGCATAAGGCTTCTAATCTTTCTGGGGATACAGACCCCTTTAGGTCGACTAAGTGACAGAATCCTCCGCCTCACAAGGGTGCATCTGCCTAACCTCTGACCTATAGACCTCTGAAGGTCTGGTTAGTGCCGGGTTGGTTAGTGGGACAGGCGATGGAGGCCAGCTTCATGTGGGGTGGATGATGGACTTTGGGCGGTTGGCAGGTGACAGGAGAGAAGAGGCTGTGTGACCTGTGATGGGGCCACTGGCATCAGCTGTTTGCAGAGACCCTGGTTTCAGCAAGTAGCTGCAGCCTGGGGGCAAATGGTGGTTTGCTCTCCAGGCTCTCCATCATCAGCATTTTCACTTTTCTTTTTTTCTTAGCCTCTGCCTTTCATTTCTATGACTGCTTGTTCAGAAAAAGATAGTATAATCCCATATTTAATTTTTAAAGCTGCATGAGCTGAGTGTTCTTTGTTTATCTGTTCCTTAACTTCAGTTATACATGGGTTTTCCCTATGTCGGGGTTTTAAACTGTTCCCTTTGAGGTTTGTTGATGTAAAGGACTGTCCCTCCACCCCCCCTTGCAGTACAGTAATGGACAACTAACTGGGTCTCCAGAGAGAAACTCAGAATGTCTCCCTTCCCTAGCTGGCCCCAAATCTGAAGAAATTAAGTTTTTTTCCTTAAACTAAAAAAATCTTTTCCCTGTGACTGTGTGTGTACCCTGTGTTTCTCCTGTTGAACACCCCAACCCCAGTCGGCCACCTACCCACTCCCTCCTTTGACAGAGTCCCCGAGAGCCCGGTTCCTGTACCTCGCCTTGGGGGGAGATGTGGAGGTTGTCAGCCTGGTTCCCATGCATGCCCCTCTCGTCTGAAAACGGCCCGGCAGCTTCCCTGTCCACCCACGGGCCCTCTGATGCAGACCCCCGCCTCCTCGGGGCCACTGCTGCTATCTTGGTGGGTAATTGCCCTGTGCTCCTTCTTACCCTCCTCACCCATCCCCTTCCCCTCTTGCGTCACCGCTGCATGAAGCTCGGCGGTGGCCCCCCCATTCCTCCCAGACACACTTCTGCCGCTGCAGTCTGAGTCTGCCTCCTGGCTGTGTCAGCGTGGAGCTGCCAGGCCTAGAGGCAAAGGCACGCGCTGTTTGGAGTGGCAAGTGACGAGCTGTCGTAGAATACTTAGAAAACCCCCAGCGGCATGCAAATGCAAGGTACCATTAAACACGCGCTCAGCCGACGTCATGCTAACGCTTCCCACACTAGCCCAACAAGTGGTCAGAATGTGTGCGCAGGCCTCTGGTGCCAGCATGCCCAGCACCAGTGATGTCTGACTAGCTCACAGGTGTACCCCGGGCCCCCATGGTCACCTCAGTGGGTGGCTTCTGGGGCCAGCCAGAGAAGCCCTTCCCACTGTGATAAAAGATTCGAGCAGTCAGAGTACACGTGAAAGCAGGTGATGTGTCGAGGACCAGTGAAACGTGGAAAGAACAACAAGCAGATCAGAACTTTGGGGAAAAAGCTCTTTATTCCTGCAAGAAATGCTCTGGGGTACAGAATGCAGAATGAAACCAGTAGTAGGGCATCCTCCCCTTCCTTACTTCCTGCACACCTCACAAACTGGAGAGGACAGAGCGATGGCTGGAGGTGGGGAGAGGAGGGTGCACTAGAGCTGAGTGGTTTTCCCAGCTCCTCTTGGTGCCGTGCAAGAGCCTGGCAAATATAGATGGATCCAGAATTATGAAAGGTCAGAGATGAGAACTCTTCCCCCTTGCCGGGCTGGCAGCAGACAGTGCTGGAACAGGCTCTCCCTCAAGGTGGGGATACGCCCGTGATGCCTGACGCAGTGGTCAGAGGATGGACCCCTTTCAGGCTCCCTATGTAGCATCCTGGACACATGGTGATCCGAGCGATGGCCCTCGACTTCTGAAAAGTATTTTTAACTACTAAAAGAATGTTGTGGCTGACCTTTAAATAAGAGGTATAAATAAGGTGACAGTTTCTAAGACGTGCTGGCTAACTTCCAAGGATGATCAGCTGTAATCAACGGACACAAGCAGGAGGCCCCCAAACGAGGCCAAGAGCCATCTGTCCACAGCAAATTAATGTGACGGAAGAGGAAAAAGAAAGGTCATGCAGCAAAAAGGTAGCAATCCATGAGCTCTGCTCTCTCTAGATAGAAAGTCTAAGTTCAGTCTGCAGAGAAGCTTGTTAAAAATTAAGGATGGACAGAAACAAAGGCACCTGGGCTTTCCTTGGTTCCTCACTCCAGTGAAGAAGGGACAGTGAGCACAGCTCCTTCCCGAAGTCTGGCTGTGAAGAGAGGAGCCGCAGGACGGTGTTTAGCAATGGCTTATGACAATGGCATAGGACGGGCTTGAATATGATGAAATGTCGGCGTACAGACCGAAAGAACAAAAACTGGCAGGGCAGAGAATCATCAGAGTTAGGTCCCCTGGGCACGGGGAGGCTGAGGTGGATGGAAAGAGTGTGTCAGAACAAAAGGAGCCCGCCACCATCCTGATGGGAAGGGACGCTGCAAGGCTGGGTGGGGAGGCAGGTGCACTGAAAGCTTGAGGCCAGGAAGTGGAGGGAATTTTGGGGTCAAACAACCATAACTTTGTCCGTGAAGCTGCGGGGGAAGCTATCTGGCCAGAGTGAGGAACAAGGGATGAGCCACGGTGTTTAAAGGAGAATGAACATGGAGAGCCAATCAGGGAAAGAGACGGGCGCTCTGGGCAGCACTCCAGGCCCAGCTGGTGGGGGCCAGAGAGAGTCCCATGGGAGGCAGGGAGGCGCCAGCACTGCCGGGCATGAGAGCTCAAGGGAGAGGTAGCAGAGTCACCCTTCTGCTCTGTTCCAAAGCCCTAGAGACAAAAGAGGAAGGGCAGGATGTCCCAGGCAGAGGGAAGAAAGGAGGTAGCAACCCACAGCCCAAATTCATTTGTAAGTATCCTAGAGGGGGTCCTCCAGAAACCAGAGGTGTGGGGAAGATGTGAAGTGAAGATGGAGATCTGGCCAAGGCCACCCTCTATGTGAGTGGTTGCCTCGACTGTGTGTAGGGGCTGCTGCGGGCCTCTCGGGGGCGGGGGGCGGCGGCCAGGGACACCGCTAAAGATCCTGTGATGCACAGGCCAGTCGCCCCACCCCCACCCCAAAGGATCCCAAAGGATCATGTGGTCCCAAAGGTCAACAGTACCAAGGCTCAGAAACCTTGCTCTGGGTGGGAAGCTGTCGATTCCGGTCCCACAGAACGTTGTTCAACGTGCAAGGTTAATTTTTCCTATACCTGAGAATCTTGCTGTCGGTACCATTTCAGTGAGGTAAACGGCTGTGCTGAGCAGAGAAGGCTACCACTTGCTGAGGCTTTAGGAGTACGTGTAACGGAGAGCACCTGGCCCCAGAGCAGAACGGGGACTCGGGGAGAGCGACAGACAAGGATGCAGCAATGGAACACAACCCACCGAGGACGCAGTGCCCTGACAGCGGGCACAGAGAAATGTTAAGTTTGCCAGAATTCTAACATCCAAAAGCAGACTGCAGCCACAGGCGCAGCCACAGAAGGGTGAGGCCCAGGATGGAGGGGCACACTGTGGAGTGCTGCTCAGGTGCCTATTACGAGCCACAGGCCCAGGCTCTGGGATGTGTTCTTCTGAACACTCCCCACGGATTCCGACACACCGTCTGGTTTGGAAAGCACTGGATTAAGTTAAGAAAAAGGAGAACGGGGCGCCTGGGTGGCTCAGTGGGTTGAGCCGCTGGCTTCGGCTCAGGTCATGATCTCAGGGTCCTGGGATCGAGTCCCTCGTCGGGCTCTCTGCTCAGCAGGGAGCCTGCTTCCCTTCCTCTCTCTCTGCCTGCCTCTCTGCCTACTTGTGATCTCTGTCTGTCAAATAAACAAATAAAATCTTTAAAAAAAAAAAAAGAAAGAAAAGAGAAAAAGGAGAACGAAGAATGAAACTTTGGAACAGCCAGTGCTCAGGAGGCGGGGAGGAGGATGAGCAAGCTTCCACAGTAGTCTATTTTTGGCGGAGGCCCCCCTGAGGAAGACACTCTCGAGCTAGTAACAACCATGATTGGCTTCAGAGGCCTTTGTTCTTCAGTCCAGATGGTCCCTCTCGGGGGGCGAGAGGGACTCTGGCCTGAATTAGGAAGACAGAATTTGGAAAGACTTGGCCTCTTCCTGGTGATTCTGTTGTCAGAGATCTGTGCAGTTGAAAACAGGTTTAAAACCAGCCAAGAGTGGGTAATGCTTCATACTGTACCTACTGATCTTCCTGGTTTGTATTTGGATGTGTGTTTCCCCCAGACTCATGTTTTAAACCATACCTGATGGCAGCTGAAGGAAATATGCTAATTATGCAATTTAATTTTCTACAGGAAATGTACCGTTCGTTTTGTAGATTTTCCTTTATAAGTAAACTAGATTGACTTGAATTCTAGAAGCTGGTTTTCTGTTTCAGCATATGGAATTATTCTTAAGTTCTATGATTAAGGAAAAAAACAAAACCTCTCACGGATCTTTCTAGGTTTAAAATCGATGACTTTGGGAAGAAAATGGTACCAGTAGCCTCATGGAGACAACCACTGACAATTATTTCATTTGTTCACATGTCCTGTGTTATTAAGTGGTCAGCGTGGTTATGTTTTAAGGGAGCGGAAAAAGAAGAGTTAAAGTCTTTGATTTGAGGCTTCTCAGTAGGCGACTTTGTATTTTTTCCATTCGAAATGCTTCTAAAGAACATTTGCTCTATTTAGAGCCCCACACATGAGTGAATGTGGCCCGATATACGGAGCAGTAAAGGCAGACCTTTACTTTGACTCCCCCATTTCTGGACCATGAGACCCCAGCATCTACCAGGAGGGTCCCTGTCCCTCGGGTACAGCGGGGAGAAAAGCACGGACCCTGGCACAGGACAGTAACCTCAAGCGCACCCAGCAGAAGGCCTGGCCCAGCAGCCAGTCCGAGTAACCCAGATTCAGAAGGATTGGTCCAAGTCCTAGAGTTTTGGTTCCTGGCGACAAGTGAACACCACAGAGCCTTCACGGGAGGGCCTAGTGATGCGCTGGGATTTAACAGGAAGAGGAGCAAGGGGCTCCTTTTGAAACCCATGAGAGTCCCAGAATTGAACATTCTTGACTCTTATGGTCTTAGGCTATGATGTGGCCAAAGGTTCTCCCCGTGTTTCTCACCAGCAGCAGAGGCCTGCTGTCAGTGCATGCCGAGGCACACAGCTCCTGCCTACTGCTACCCCTATCACGGGTAACGTGGTGCCCCGCCCCCACCTGCCACCAGAGCCTGGCAAACAGGTGCCGAGAGCCAGTGGGACCCTCCCCTGAGAGGGGGGCGTGCGTGCCCCACAAGCAGCACTCTGTTTTAAACAAAGGACATGGACATACTTGCAGGGGAGAATCCGCACCACATCGTTCTGCTTGTAGCTCTCGATACAGACTGCGCAGTGATCGAAGTCGGGGTCTGTTTCCTGTGAGGAGAAGCACAGGCATGAGAGTCACAGGCTAGAATGGAAGCCATACAGAAACGGGGAGACAATCCAGCAGAGCATCTTCCTGTGGCACCCACGGCGAGCAAACCATTAGGAAGTGAACAGCTACCAATGCTTCTCACGTTTTCAGTTGCTTAACTGCACTGACCCAAATGATACCAAAACCCCTCTACCCCGTTTTGAAACTATGTTGTAATAGTTACTGCTAATTCTATTTGTGAAGGGTCTTAGAAGGTAGAATTTTTCCTTGTGTTTCAAGATTCAAACCCACCATCACCGTGGACACCCTCCTCTCGCCCCACCACAGCGGCATCATGGCTCTGGGTCAGTGGGTTTCCCTGCACACCCTCCACAGTGTGGGTTGTCCTCCGACTACGTATCAGAGTGCGGGCAGGAAAGATGGTGAGCCCCCAAAAGACCAAGCCCCAAGGATGGGAGCTGGTCCCAGGTCTGGGGTAGAGAACAATCCTGGGTCTTTGTGGACACTCAGGAGGACTCAGCCGGGTGGTTGGCCACCCAGGTTAACTGGCTTCCTTCCTTGCCCATGCCATTACCCTCCCAGGGCTGTTCATCACAATGTGAGAGCCGGGAGCGCTGCAGAAAACAACTTTGGGCTTATGCCTGTAGAGGCGCAACTTTTCCCTCTAGATAACCGAATGCATGGCGTGCAGGCTCTAACCCCAAGCTGCTGTTTTGTCCTCCTGCAGCAGAAGCGGGCTCCATGTGATGCGAGGCCCGACCGGGCAGCTCTGGTAAACCGTCTCAGCCACGGCCTCAGTCACTGGCTTTCTCACTCCATCTCCCCACGCCAAGGGCCCAACCCTGACACACTGGGCGCTTCCTTCCAACCGTCTGGCCCACTGGGCGGCACCCTGTGAATGACACTCCCGGGAGATGTGGGGCTCCAGCTCTCTGGTGAACTGGTGAGGGACTAAAACACAAAGGAAGCACAGCGAAGAGGAGGTATACTCCTGGCCACCGAGGGCACCAACTGACCCATGAGGGCTCTGCCTGAAGGCATCCTTGGCTGCAGTGTGACACCATGGCTAGGGGAAGGAGACCAGTGCAGCTGGTAATGGAGGAGCACTGCAAGTCCAAGAAAGTCAGAAACTCTAGGGATGGCCTCCAAATGAGGCATGCTAAGGGTAAGAGTTCAAAGGGAGGCTAGTCTAAAATGAAGCACTAGGCCGTATACCCGGAGAGACACAAATGATTAGGGTGTGTTCTCTCCCACCAAATCGAAGGTGAAACTACTTTATTGTTTTTATAATGTCAAGTTATTTCGCTACCATACCTTATCACCCTTTTTTACTGTTCTGGTGGTCAATTTGCTGATGGCTTTCTTGGCAGCATCTCCAAGACGACGCTATGACAATTACAAAGAAAAACGGACATTAATGTGCGATCTCTAGATGACATCCTTCACTTTAAAGTCGTTAAATGTATAAAGCCTCTGTTAGCCCATAACATTCTCTAGGTCACGTCACAGGAAAGGATTCTAACAAAGCAATTAAAAAATGAGAAAAACTGGCAGTTTTCCCATAGATTTAGCTTTCTGAATTGAATTACTGAATTATCCTGAATACTGAATGAACCCTGAATAGTTCAAAAGTATATATAGTGGGAAAAAAACACCAGGGTCATAACCACTGCTGCATCCCTGTGTTTAATAAACCTCTGAAATACTACAGCATTACTGAGATCTACTTCTTGCACCTGTCAGAGCCGCAAGCACGGCCCTCATGGCTCCGGGACAATCAGAAGGATGAGTTCGAGCCTCCAATGCCCCCGCGGTGGTGCAGCACAGTGCCCAGCGAAGCAGGAGAGAGGCAGTCACGAGCTCTCCTTCCGTCTCCACCACCACAATGCTCCGTGAGCTTAGCAAGGTGCATTTACCTTCCGAGGGGTGAGCTATCTGAAAGGGTTAAGTCACAGAATCTCAGAGACTGGGAGGATCCCACATTTGGGCAGACATTGCTAGATACCAAGGACACACAGGGGGAACGACGGTGCTCCCAAATCGGGGGACAGACCAGGAGATACTGTGACTGAGTCCTGCACAGCAGGGGATGCCTGGGTGGTGTGCGGCGCAGAGGGGCAGCCTAACACGGTGGGGGTGGGGGGCAGGGGCAGAGGAGGGACGTCAGGGAAGGCTTGAGGAAAGGAGCCCTGAGCAGAGATGTGGAACACTAGTGGGAAGGAATCCTATCAGGAAAAGCACAGGGGACAGGAGGGGCCTTCTGGACAAAGGAAACCTAAGAAAAATAAATAGGCGTGAAGCACAGGACTATGAAGGCAATTATTCGATATCGCTAGGATGAGCATATACCTGACTGTGCAAAACAGAACGTTCTGGGAGTCAGAGGGCCCTATCAGTAATTACACGGGACAGTGGGTGCAAACAGGCACGCTGAGACAGGTGGTCACTCTGCACACAAGCAGATCTTGAACGGTGGAGAAGAGGCAGACGCTGAGCCTGAGGGGGGATGGTGGGGGCTAAGAGAAGGGGAGACCTTGGATTTTATATCCTGAGGATGAAAAAAAATCATAGAAACATAAACATTTTAGGGGAATTTAAAAATACACAAAAGAAAATAAGTTAATGAACTTCTATGTATCTACCCATCATCCAGCTTCAATGCTCAATGTTTTACCAATATTTTCCATCCTTCCATCCATCCCCTCCTCTTTACTGTGCTAGAGGATTTCAAAGCATATCACAAAGCATTTCATACATAAAACTGTCACTATGTCTTATAGATAGGGGCTTTCATTTGCTGCCACTGTCTCATCTCACAAAATTAACAATAATTTATCAACATTATCAAATGCTCAGACTATACTATAATTTCCCCAGCTCTCTTTTTATTTTTTCTTAAATATTTATTTATTTGCGAGACAGAGAGCATGAGAGGGGAGGTCAGAAGGAGAAGCAGACTCCCCGTGGAGCTGGGATCCCGATGCAGGACATGATCCCGGGACTCCAGGATCACGAGCTGAGCTGAAGGCAGTTGGTTAACCAACTGAGCCACCCAGGCACCCAAAAAAGTCTATTTTTTAAAAAAGATTTATCTGACAGAGAGACCACGCAAGCTCACACATATGTGGGTGGGGGGAGGTGAGGGGCAGAGGGAGTGAGAGACTCTCCCCACCCCTACCATGGCTGAGAGTGGAGCCCAACCTGATCTCATGATCCTGAGATCATGACCAGAGCCGGAATCGAGAGTTGGCCATTCACCCAATTGGCCACCCGGGTGCACCCCAACATATCTTTTTATATAGTTGGCTTGACTCAGGGTACAAAGTCCAAACATTGCATTTGGTTGCTGTTCCCCTCAATTTTCTCTTAGTCTGTGAGAGTCTCCTCTACCATATATGTATCTTTTTAGCCTGTGGAAACAGAATTGACTTAAGCTGCATATATTGGAAGTGTACAATTAGATATATATTTCTAAGCTTTTATTTATTTATTTAGGGAGAGAGAAAGAGAGCACAAGCAGGTAGAGCAGCAGGCAGAGGAAGAAGCAGACTCCCCGCCGAGCAGAGAACCCCATGCGGGACTCGATCCCAACACCCTGGGATCATGACCTGAGCTGAAGGCAGAGGCTTCACCCACTGAGCCACCCGGGTGCCCCTACAATTTGATATTTTGACATGGCCCTCAAAACCATGACTACCATTAAGACACCGTATCTATCATTCCCCAATTTCCTTGCGCCTCTTCCTAATCCCTTCTTCCCATCACGGCTTCTGTCCACCGCCTACTTTATGCTACTGTACTTTCTATTTTTCAGAGTTTTACATAAATACGATATACTATGTACTATTTTGTATATGGTTTCTTTCATTCAGCATAATTACCTTAAAATTAATCCATGTTGCTGCAAGTGTCAACCATTCATTGCTTTCTTACTCTACGTAGTATCCCACTGTACAGATACACCGCAATTTATCTTTTTACCCTATTGATGGAACTTTTGTATTGTTTGCCAGGTTTGGGCTGCAATAAATAAAGCTGAAAACCATCTTACTGACTTGTACAAGTCTTCGTGAGGACATGCGCTTTTGTCCTCTGGGGTAAATATTTTACACAGTAGGGAAGGCTGGCAATAGGGTAGTGTGTTTTACCTTTTTTTTTTTTTTTAAGATTTTATTTATTTATTTGACAGAGAGAGATCACAGTAAGTGATCTCTTACTTACTTAAGTAAGTAAGCAGAGAGGCAGGCAGAGAGGAGGAAGCAGGCTCCCCACTGAGCAGAGAACCCGATGTGGGGCTCAATCCCAGGACCCTGAGATCATGACCTGAGCCGAAGGCAGAGGCTTTCACCCACTGAGCCACCCAGGCGCCCCTGTGTTTGACTTTTTAAGAGACCGCCAAAGTGTCTTCCAATGTGAGTGGGACATTTTTATGTTTCCACAAGCTGTGTATGAAAATCCCACTTCCTCCACATCCTCACCAACACTTGGGTGGTCAGTCTTTTCCATCTGATTGTAATCACTAAGAGGTATGTAGTGGTATCTCACTGTAGCTCAAATTTGCATTTCCCTAACGACTAACGACAGTGAGCATCTTTTCATATACTTGTTTGCCATCTGCATATTTTCTCTGGTGAAGTGTCTGTCCGAATCTTTTGCCCGTTTTTCTATGCAGTTGTATGCGCTCTTATTATTGATTTGACAGTACACTACATATATTTTTTAAAGATTTATTTATTTATTTTGGGGGGGAGGAACACAGGGAGAGGAGTGAGAGTGAATCTCAAGCAGACTCCCTACTGAGTGGGGAGCCTGATGTGGGGCTCAATCTCATGACCCCAAGAGCATGACCTGAGCTGAAATCAAGCGCTGGAGGCTCAACCAGAGTCAGCCACCCACAGACTGAGCCACACAGGCGCCCCTGTATTACATATTATAGATCCCATTCTTTTTGCATACATTTCCTCTCACTTTGTGGCAGAAGTTCTTAATTTTGATGGTCAGTTTATCAATTTTTCACTTGTGGACTGTAATCTGGTTCATATCTAAGTAATTTTTGCCTATCCCAAGATTACAAGACTTTCCCCTGTATTCCAGAAGGTTTATCGTTTTAGGTTTTGTACGTAGGCCTCTGATCCATACTGAGTTAATTTTGTATATGGTGTGAGGTCCTGAGCATAGGTTTGTTTTTGGCATATGATACACAATTGTTCCAGCATCATAAACTCATCTTTCTCCACTGAACTGCCTTTGTACATTTGGCAAAAACCATTTGCCCATAAATGTGTGGGTCTGTGTCTGAACACTATTTTGTAGCATGTATCTATTACTAAGCAAATATCACACTCATTAATTTCTTACAGTTATTAATTTCTTGTAGTGCTTTGTAAAAACAAATTTGAAATCAGTGTTACACCTCCAACTTTTTTTTCCCCTTCTTTTCCAACATCCTTTTGATTGTTCTTGATCCAGTCTGTTCCCATAAGAATTTTAGGTTAAGCTTGTCAATTTCTATTAAAAAAGTTATTTGGGATTTACATTAGGACTGATTGCACCAAATGCATAGATCAATTTGGGGAGAAGTGACATCAAACTAGCACTGAGTCTTCCCCTGAACACTGTAGATCTCTCCATCTGATTAGTTCTTATTTAATTTCTCTCAGCAATATTTTATAGTTTACACTGTACAGGTCTTACACATCTTTTGTCAGATCTCTAACAATTTCCTGTTTATTTTCTGTTTGATGCTAATGGAATTGGTACTTTAAAAAATTCAATTCTCATCCAGTGCTCGTATGGAAATAAAATTGATTTTTGTATTATATCTCTCAACCTTGCTAAGCCCATTTATTAGTTCTGGCAGCCTTTTTATAGACACCACCAAATTTTCTAAATAGATGTTAATGTCCTTTGTGAATGAAAACTGCTTTATTCATTTCTTTTTTTTAAAGAGAGAGCAAATGAGAGTGAGCAGAGGAGGGAGAGAGGGTGAGGGGGAGAGAGAATCTCAAGCAGGTTCTGTGCCCAGTGTGGAGCCCGACGTGGGACTCGATCTCACAACCCTGAGATCATATGAGCTGAAATCAAGAGTGGGATTCTTAACTGATTGAGCCACCCTGAGGCCCCTACTTACTCATTTCTGATATGGGTACCTTTATTTATTTTTTAAATATTTTATTTATTTCTCAGAGAGAGTGAGCAAGTACACAGGCAGTGGAAGTGGCAGGCAGAGGGAGAAGCAGACTCCCCAATGAGCAGGAAGCCAGATGCAGGACCTGATCCCAGGACCCTGAGATTGAGATCATGACCTGAGCAGAAGGCAGACACTTAATCAACTGAGCCACCCAGGGGTCCCTCATTATGTTCTTTATTCCTTGTTGTGCTGGTTA